ATATTTTCCTACACTGCTTGTGATAACAGTATATAATAGCAGTTTATTGTTTGTAATAATAGTATAAATTGAGATTTTAACTTAACTGATGACATTATATATCGAATATTTTTCTGCACTGTTTGTGATAACAGTAAATAATAGCAGGTTTACTGTCTGTGATGACAGTATATATTTTCAGGTTACTGGTTGTGATAACAGTAGAAATCAACGGCTGACTGTTTGTGATAACAGTAGATAACAATGGCTGACTGCTTGTGATAACAGTAGAAATCAATGGCTGACTGTTTGTGATAACAGTAGATATCAATGGCTGACTGTGATAACAGTAGATATCAATGGCTGACTGTTTGTGATAACAGTGATATCAATGAGATTCCTGGACTGTTTTGTGATGACAGTTAATAATAATAAAATCCTGCACTGTTTGGTAAGTATAACGAATATTTACATATTATTGTTTGTGACAACAGTAGATACAGAAGTTTGCTGTTTGTTATAACAGTAGTTCGTTACAATAAAAGAATATTTTCTAAGAGTATTTAAAATATTTCTTGATTATGTTATTAAAGAATATTCTGATTGTGACATTAGACATTTATGATTTAGAAGCCATACCTATATCCGTTTATGACATCAGACTGTTATCATTTTCATCATGTAAGTATATATCCTCTACTGCTTCATCAAGTTATGACATCGGATAATTATGAATTACATCCTCTTTTTTAATCTGATTGTCATATCAGTTTATTTAAGTTACCAGATCGGATATATTTTTACAATCCAAATTATCTTTGATTGCGCCATTAAATCAGATTGGATAAGATCGGATAATCAAGAGTTATATCCTAATTTTCAGACTGATTGTGACATCATACATTCATTATGTAGGTATATTAGGCTACATTCCGGTTACAAAATCGGATATAATTTATACGTAGTAATAAAATTAAAATAAGTATACACGGAAAAAAAATTGTAGAAAAAATTTCTACAATTGTAGATTTTTTCTCTACAATAAATAGTACATATAGGGACAGGGACAATTTGTAGTAAAAATTTCCAAATATTTGTGGAGAATGTATTGTAGAGTTATTATCTACAATATTTAGTAAAAATATCCAAATGCATCATAAGAATTGTTCTACAAATTGTTATAATTTTTGCTATTCATTGTATGAATTTATATTAAAAATGTATTGCGTTTTATGAAAATAAATACGAAAATTTTACACAATAAATAGTAAAAATTCATACAAATTGTAGTAATTTTTAATAAAATTTGTAGTAGTATTCCATAATTATTATAATTATAACCTAGAAAAAAATGTTCCTTAATAAAATATTCAATTTATTGTTTTAATATAAAAGATACAAATTCTTAATTACATTATGTAATAAATAACAGTAATAATAGCGCCCTCAGTCTCAGTTGGCTTTTCTGCACCTGAAAAATATGAAATAAAAATTAGTACCAATTGAACGGTTCATACCCTTAAAACGGGGATATTTATCACCTTTACACTGATTTGGATATTAAATGACTAAGTCAGATAACTAACAAAAATGAGAAAGTAGGTACGTCACAATTAAGACAAAAAAATATCATTGAACTTGGCACAAAATTCGATTGTTGGGCACAACATTCGATCGTTGGCCACAACTATTTTTTTTAAATAATCTACTAAGGTTACTTAAATTAGTTATCTAAAGGTAAATTATTCAGAAACAATATTAAATGTACTTACCACCAATAGAATTTATTATTAAAATTTTCTCAAACGCATCGGTGCTTATAATATAATAATGTGTTATAGGTACTCGTATATGTACCATGCTTTGTTATGTGAACATGGCGAACGGCTACTGCTGTCTGGCCGTTTATGATCGACGTCAGAAAACGTTGGCCAATAGCAGAATTTTGTTTTGTTCACATGACTAAGAATTTCTACAATATTGTAGAATATTTTTCAACAAAATTGAATGTTTATTATAAGAAGGGATGTAAAGTATTACTATTTTTTGTAGAGAAAATTTCTATTTTTTGTGGAGATAATTATTAATATTTGTACAAATTTTTACAGAAGTTAGTAGTAGTAATTACGATAATTGTAATAAATTTCTACTTCTACAAACAATAGTAAAATTTACTAAACATTGTGGACTTCTTTCCTATTGTTGTAGCATTTTATTCGACAATTCAATTGCTACAATAATTAATAGTTTTTAACTATAAATTGTAGTAAAATTTTCTACAAATTGTTAAGTATTTTTCTACAAGTCTACTACTACAACATTGTAGTAAAATTTTCTAGTCACATTTTTTTCCGTGTATATTTTTTGATTGCATTATAAAGTTATGGTCTGATCCTAACATCGGATATTCACGAGTTACATCCTCATTTTAATTTGATTGTGAAATGAGATATTCAATATTTATTTTGAGCTATTTTCCGACTACGATATCGGATATAATTTAAGTATATTTATAGAATAAAAAGCAAGTACCTATACAACCTATATTTCGTCAAGTTACAGTCCGATCATGACATTTAATAATCATGAGTTACATCCTAATATCAATCTGATTGTGACATCAGATAATGACTATTTATTTTAAGCTACATCTCGACTAAGACATCGAAATTATTTTTTATTTATATTTATGAGATCCATAGTAAGTGTACATCCTTAACTGCTTCATCGGATAATCATGAGTTACATCTTCTTTTTAATCTGATTGTGACATCAGCTTCTCATTACGTATATTGAGCTACATTCCGATTACTACATGGGATAGAATTTAAATTTCGTCTTGGCTTAGTAGCTATTCTATACTGTTTATAAAGAGGCATAGACAGACGATTATACCTACACAATCTAAATGGCCGATTTTCGAGCTTAATATTATAGAAAATGTGTTGTAAACGTTTAAAGATGGGTGCTGTTCAGAAAGCAAAGCCATGTGAGGGCCAATTCTTTTTCAAAAGGTTTTTTAGACGGGTCGAACCATTTTTTTCTTAAATTAAAAATGTTTCATTAGAACAAAACATTTCAAAATAGAAGTTCATAAAGTAATATCGGCCATGTTGTTTCATGTCAAAGGTGGACTTAAGGGATGCCCATCATTTAGTACTAATTAATTTCACAAAAAATTAATAAATATTTAAATATAAGAACTCTTTGTACGAGTACAAATTGTCTGTTTTTTGGATAAGTGTTGCCCCATTTGTATTTACAAAACTGACGAAGCCACTAATTTATTTCCTATGAAGCAGAGTTTTTTTATATGACGTATACATAGATGTTGTTTGTTAATAGGCAATTCATATGAGACACTATGTATTAAGTTTTTTCAGAAACTATTGGATTTCTAGAAAAATTCGCTTTTTATACTTGTTTTCTTATATAAAATTATAAAGATTATAAAATAATTTTCAGTACAAGAAAGATGGACCGACCATTAGAGAATTTTATAAATTGTAGGGGAAACTAGTTTTCTGCCTATATCCAGCAACTCTTTACTTTATACTTTATACAAAGATCGTAGAGTGAGAAAAGTTCTTAGCTCGTAAAAAGCAAAAGGGGATAACAATTCAGTAAATGAAAATATCTAAAGAGTTAGCAAATATTTTGTTATGCTGGATTAATAAATTACGTGATAGTAGATATCATATTCGTGTAGATTTCTTTGATATTGAAATTTTTACAGACGCTTTCAAGAAGGGATGGAGCGTGTTCTGCAATGGGTCTATTGGCTAGAATCTGAACAAGAGTATTATATAAATTTTCTACAGCTTTCATCAGTTTTGTTCAGGTTAAAATGTTTTTTCAAACTAAAAACCATAAATTAATATATTGTACCGAAAAGATAACATTGTGGCTACTATCATTATAATGTGTTAAAAGAATGGGAAGTGTATTATACACTGTTATATTAATATCCCAAGTTAAATACTCTTGCTCATACAATTTGGCGATGATGTGAACCGTTGCCTCTTTATATTTTTCCAAATTTAATTATCGAGCTGATAAAGCTTTCCGTTATTCAAAATAGTAGACGGAATGGTGAATAGCAGTTTTCCGTTTTTTAAAAAAGAATAACCGTTCCGGTATCCCGGAAAAAACTTATTTGCAAGTATAATAAATGCTAAATGTAAACGATTTATATCTTGGCTGGGAAACCCAAACACAGTAGCCAGTAATGCATTTTTAACTGGTTAAAATCTTTAATTTTATACATTTCCACCTTTTAATATAATTTTATAAGTACTACTACTACAGTAAACAAAAAGGTGAAAGTCGTGGTGGTGGTACCATTATGGGACTCTCAGCCTTGGTATCCGTTATTTTTATTTTTATTGCTATGAGTAGATCAGATATTGATATTCACTCCTAATAAGAACTTACTTTCTTTTGTTAGGATAACCCATCCTTTCTCAGGAATAATTTCCCTGGTGGAAGGGATATTATTCAGTAAACTCTCATGGATATCGGATACTATGCCTAAAAACTATACCTTCCGATTAAAATTGTAGTTGGAAGTCCATGTTAGAATATTTAACAAGACAATTTTATAGTGATTCGTCTTAAGATTTAAGTGGGGTATTGTTCAAAGGGCTATTGTGTCTACTTTAATATGTAAAAAAAATACCTCGAGGGCACGATTATTTTCCGAGAAATAGCGATGGAGACGTTAAAAACATGTTTTATAAAAAATCGACTTTTTTCAAGTTTTCTCGAAATAAAAAAGTTCTCGACCACCAAAAAATGTCGTCAAAAATGATTTCGTGTACTCGATTACCTTATTAAAGAATTGCACTAAGTCTGGTTTGGTTCTACGCTGTTTTTTTTTTCTCAAAAACTAAGCGTCTTTACTTCCAAGTTTTACTCCGCTAAATATCTGGTACAGGTAGGTAATATATGACCATTTTATTTGTTTGTAACCGATCGAAGAGTTATTCTAAAATAAATAAAACAAAAAAAAAACAATATTTGTACCGGTACATTTTTATTTCAATAAAAACATAAAATACTTTATCATTTTAGCATTGCATGATTTGATACAATGTTCCTAGTTACAACTACAATAATAGCGTTTTAGATATTTAACTAAATTAATTCTATAATGCTGTATTTCAGTTAAGTAAAAGTCTATAGTGTTTTTTATTTAACAGCCGCAGTATTACTGTGGCGTAGCCAAATGGGGGCCAGGAGGGGCGCTTGCCCCTCTCGCCCCCCTTGCTAGGCGCCCCTGCCGCCCTATATACACAATAAATAGTTACTTTTATTACACCCTGTAACATTCATTGAAATTGAAAACTATTTGGCAACATATTTTTAAAAACAACACCTTCAATATTATTTTTTCTAATTTTGACATATAAAGTGACTTTTTTTTTAATCGCGCAAGTGTCAAAATGATCTATTTTACGCAACCAGTTGCATAATGTTGAATATTATGAAACTGGTTTCGAAAAATTCATTATATCACCAGTGCAAAAAAAACAAATAAAATTAAACCTTTTTCGGTTTTAAAATCAATAATTTGAAAGTGCAACGTTTTTAATGTATACATCTTGTAAGTTATGATTATTATAAATTTTTAACATGTTAAAGCCAATTATTTAAGAGTGCTCGCATGCAGCGGCGTCTCCAAGGAAATTCGAATGGTAATAAATTACGTGAGAATATTCATATATTATGCAGGATGTCCAATTAGTACCTAATTGCTCGATAAATCAATTTGTGTTGTAGATACATAAACAAGTTTTGAATTAAAAGTTATATGGATTTGAACAAGACATATTTTAAAAATACGTTAGAATATACAAGGTTTTATTTTTTTTAACAAATAAAAATATTGCGCCCCTTTAAATGTATGACCCCTCCGCCACGCAAGGCTGGCTACGCCACTGGCAGTAATATATAACCTCAGTAATTAAAATTTATGCCATATTTAACCACTGCTTAATAGCTTGAATGTAAAATGATCTTGCCCCTAAGATGTAATTATTATCAGCAACATCAGAGTTTCTCAAATCTACTTGATGTGGAGCATCGGAAATATTAAACGCCCAGACTGTGGCAGACATATTACCCGTAACGCCACCACATGAATATGGATCCATCATACCATTACTGAAAACAATATTAGAATAGTATTTCAAATTTTTTCCTCCATAAGCTATTAGACCCCAATCAGGAGGTAATGTCCTAACCCCGAACTTCTTATAACAATCCATAGAGTATTTTTCGTAATCCCAAGGTTTCGTCATAAACATGTCAGCATCTGTTGAACATTTAGGCATTATGAGTTCTGTGCATTGTTGGTAATCATAAGCAAATTCGGTGTAATCATCGTATGTACTATTTATATTGTTACATACTCGCTTTCCAGTGTAATTGGTATATATCTCTAAGGCATGACTAAAATGTTCTATTAGACCTTTCGTATCGTTGAAGTATGAAGTGGTGAGTTTATCGCAGAATACCTTCACTGGATAAGCTGGTAAAGGTGTGTACAAATCTGTTGGATAATGGTAGTTTGCCAATGCTATATTAACGTATATTTTGCTTAACCAATTCAATAATGTTTCAGTATCTTCAGGACCCTTTAGTCTTCCACATAGTTTCCATGTAGTAGATATAAAGTCCATTCCTAAAATAATAAAAAATTCATGTACTTTTTCATATTGTTTGTTTATCTTAAAACCAAGTTCGGGATAGGTACTAATTAAAGATTTTACATATTCCATTCTCAATAAAATGTAACCAATGCTAACATTTTTTACTAGCGTTATCTAAATAAGGGCAGATATTAGTAATTTTTGTTACAAAAGTGAATATAATGGTAACATTTTTAGGACTCGTTTCTATTATTCCATTAGCAACATGGCAACTGACGAAGCAGTATTCAAAGATTTAATTGAAATTTTAGTATCAAAAAAGTGCATGAAGCAGTTAAAATTAGTGATGGTGCAAGAAAGAAAATTGTATATAGTGAAAATCCTGAATATCATGTGATAAGTGCATAATGGTTAGAAATAACAAATCTAAAATATGACTTAAAATGTGCTCAAATTGAAATTACATATTTAAAGGACCTTAATAAGGAATTAGTTAAAGGTAATAAACCTCAAGAGTTAATAATTACTTTATTGCAGTCAAAAAATTATGAATGCAAACCTGGCGCTGTTGCCAAACATAGTCCATCCTGCATGGAATCGAATATAGAAGTAAATACATCGGGTAATATCGAAAATACCAAGCTTACATCATGCTATACCAATCAAAAGAAATCTGGATCAATCTGGTCCAATGAAAATAAAATAGATAGTGTTAATTCACCAAATTTCAATATTTTACCTGTTAATAATCGGCAAAGACCAGCTGGTCAGAAAAGTAAATCTGTATCTAGTTATTCTTCGACTTTGGCTGAAAACAACGGACTTTTAGACGTACAAGAAAATATTATGTCTTCCATTATAAAAATAAATGATGATGTCTCATCCAACAATGGTGGGGCCTGGGAAGAAATTACCTATAGACATAGGAAAAAGCGACAACATATTGTTGGTACTGGCACTGAGGGTGCTGCTGGCACTACAAAAGGTGTGCCGAAATTTGATGATTTACATGTTTATAGAGTAGATCCTAGTACTGACATAACAACTATGGAACATTTGCTGAAGCTTCATTTCGCGGGGTAGTGTGTGAAAGTTGAAATTTCGCTATCCGGAATCATATGCATCTTTCAAAGTGCGAATTTACCAAGAAATTTCAGAAAAGCAATGGATCCATCAGTTTGGCCAAAAAATGCATGTGTAAATAATTTTTTATATCTCCGGAGAAATCCCCAATCCCAGAGATGATTTTTGATCCAAAGTTGTTACTAAATGTGCAAAGTATAAATGAGGACAAAATATGTGATATCCTTCTGGAAATTGATAATTTTAAAAGTGTTGACATTGTTTGTTTAACTGAGCAGGGCCGGCCCCAGGGTAGGGCGATCCGGGCGGCCGCCCGGAGCGCAATGATCTAGGGGCGCCAAAATCATGAAAAATTAAAATAAACTGATAAAAAATTAACTTACATGCTTTTATAAAATGCACTAAATAGTAAAGAATATTTTTTTATCATTCTGATATATCAATAAATTACTTTTCATAATATTGCATTGTCATCGGACTCTTGCAAGTATACCAAATTTCATTAAAATCGGTTAACGGGAATTCTCTCAAGATTTGACTGATAGTTGACAAGATTAAGAAGCGGCAGGCGGAATTTATCATTTTTATTTCTAAGCACATAATTCAAATAATATAAATATTTAGACATTAAGGCAAAATCTAGTTGAATTCAATTCAACATGACAAAACCACTCAACCACCGCCTTTCAAGAATTGACAAGTTTTTCGGCCCGTGGCAATACGACTGTACAGGAAACAAAAATTTTTAAACCAAGCAAAACAAGATCTAACAGCTCTTTTTAACTGCATATAAAAAGAAAGAAGACTTAAAACAATGCATTATTTGCCACTAGACTTCGGCTGGTGCGAAATAAAATAGTTTGTTTAAATTGTTAGTGCAAAAAAGCTTTAAAAAAGTGCTTGTGCAAATTGTCCAGTGTGTTTGGCTTCTGTAAAGGTAAGTATTTTAATTTTTGTTTTAATTTTTAAAAACTAAAAAAATCTATCAGACATAAGTCCAAAAAAGTGTGGGGGTAGATTTCAAAAATTAAGAGTTTAGATCGAAACATTGCTTGTGTGGTATCAAATGAAAGGTAATTGAGTCTGGAGTTGAATAAAATGCATTTGATTTTTTTAAGCCAGTGGCGCACGAGGGGGATTTCAAAAATTAGAGTTTATATCGAAAAATGGCTTGTGTGGTATCAAATGAAAGGTATTTTAGTCTGGAGTTGAATAAAATACATTTTTTTTAAGTCAGTGACGCATAAGGGGGGATTTCGAAAATTAGAGTTTAAATCAAATCATGGCTTATGTGGTATCGAATGAAAGATACTCGAGTCTGAAGTTGAATAAAATACATTTTTTTTAAGCCAGTGGCCCACAAGGGGGGATTTCAGAAATTATAATTTAAATCAAATCATGGCTTTTTTACTTTCCTATCTGTATACAGATATAAGTATAGGAATCATGATTTTTTTCGACCTCCGGTTTTCGACGGATTTTTACGTTTTGGGGTCCCCTGAATCCGTTTTGACTATTTTCGGGATGATGTCTGACAGGAGTAGTAGTATGGGTAAAGAATGGTGTAAAATGTGTGAATAGTGCTGTAGATATCAAACAATCAGAATTTTGTTACTCTACATTTAAAGATAGTAATAATACACTTTTGTTATTAAATTGCTACCGTTCATCCTGGAATAATTTAAACATTTCTTTAGAAAATCTAGATAATATTTTAAATTGTATTTATAAACCTTATTTTAATATCATTGTTTGTGGTGATTTTAATATTGATACGGGACTATTAACTAATGATCATGTCAAATTATTAAACGTCTTATCAACATTTAATATTAATACTAATCTTGTAAAATGGCCCACTAGGGTAACAGAAAACACCTTAACAACAATCGACAATGTCTTTGTAAATTTTGCTAATCCCGGTTTAGCATGTGTATGTGACAATAGTGTATCAGATCATAGAACTTTGTTACATTTTTAATTTTTTTGGTAATACAATTATTAACATTAAAAATGTATAAATAATAACTTATATTACCTAATTTTGTTTTCGATAAATTGATGATGACATCCCACCCTAGCTTAATGGCCTTGACACATTGCTCGCGTCCAAATTTCTCAAAAACTTGTGTAACTTTATCATAAAATAAGTCGCAGTTTGTCATTCCAGGAAAGTAGAACATTGGTGCCGAAGATGAAATAGCTCCTATAACTGAATAGGGATATTTCATTCTTAACCAGGCGGCCAACATTCCTCCGTATGATCCTCCAAAAGCAACGACTGGATAAGTATCATAGGTTATAACATTTTCATAGAAGCTCCTTGTTAAATATTCTATGACGGATGCGTAATCTGCAAGTGCTTGGGTAGAAGATAAATACCTGCAAAAAATTTAAAAAATATTTTAGAAACTATCAATACTGAACTCTTTATCGATTTCTGATTCTATTAAATTTTGTTTTATATAGTCTTTAAAAATTTTATTTAATATAACATTTGTACATAAAATTTTCATGTGAATCATTAGATAATATTTTCAGTGATTTTAATTAGTAAATTTTTATTAGTAAAGTTTAATTAGGCAAATTTTATAAAATATTATATATAATTAATAGATAGGTACACTCAGAGATATCGTGCGGCCTTGAATAAGACATATTCTAAGGGACACAGGAGGGTATATAATATCCTCTGTTGCCATATGTCTATTTCATTATTCTCGTTTTGTTTACAAAATTATTTACATGTATTAAAAAGCTAAAATATTTCAACCTATTTTATTGCAAATGAACCCAAAAAATTTTAGTTATTTTTTTTATGGCTCGGGGACTTACCATTCAGCCAGTCGCGAAATATATTATATAAGTTTAAATTGCATTATCACTCTAAATACATACATTCAATCATACACACTTTTGTCCTAAGCAAGAAAAGAAGAAACATATGTAAGAGAAAATAAGGCAAGCAAGGAATAAATAGGGGAAAACATTTCTTCTTGTATAAGGGCCCGTCAAGACATTTTTTTTTGACACACAGAACTAGGCCACGGTAAGGGAGGTATATAATAATTGGGTTAGAATATAAGTTGCAAGACTAATATTAAATACGAACATACTTTACTTTCATATACAAATTTTATCAAGAGGTCGTAAATTTTGTTTTGATTAAGTGAGAGGAGATGGCAAATGTTAAATGGAGGAAATATATTATTTTTAATTAGATCTTGTAACAGATCTTGAGATTGTTGGGTATAGTAAAGAAAATATGATTTAGATCGCCTTTCTCTTGACACATTGTACATATCTCCGAATCTATAACATGGATTTTGAATAAATGTGCTGGATAACGTGCATGTCCAAATTTCAATCTGATGATAGTTGTGATATACTTTCGAGGAAGTGAATAGTTTTTAAACCAATGCACATTCGGAATTTTTGGTTGTATTTTTGAATATTGAGTTGTAATGGTTTTGCAAAAGTCTGTCCAAGATTTTCTTCACTTTTCCATTTGACGTTGTCTCTTAATTGCAAAAGCATCCAAATTTCACAGCTGATAACTTGTCGGTGAGACATTAGTAGTTGCGCTTTTATCCAATAAATGTACATACTCATTATGATTGAGCCCTATATGTGCTTTAACCCATATTAATTGAACTGTTTTCGATGTATTAATATAGAATTCGAATAGTATCTATCTTTTTAATGAGCAAGCCATTTAATGAATTGGAAGGAATCTTTGGGCTTTGAATAGCAAGTAATACAGATCGGGATAAAATAACTGAAGTATTATTATTAGATATTTTAAAGTATTTTATAGCTTCATATACAGGGTGGCTCACGTTCAACGGGACGGAGCTTTATGGGAAAACGACCAAAGATATAAAAAATTCGTTTGGGAGGAATACGTAGGTTACAGACGGCTACAATTTAAAATTTGTTAGATGTATACAGGATGTCCCACATAAGAGAAAATATACAAAGTTATATTATTTTTAATGGAACACCCTGTTTTTACTTTCCTATCTGTATACAGATATAAGGAAAGTATAGGAATCATGATTTTTTTCGACCTCGAGTTTTCGACGAATTTTTACGTTTTGAGGTCCCCTGAATCCGTTTTGACTATTTTCGCGATGATGTCTGTCTGTCTGTCTGTGTGTGTGTCTGTGTGTGTGTGTGTGTCTGTATAACGCATAACTCATGAACCGATACACAGAAAAACACCAAATTTTAAACTTAAGCTTTGTTTCAGCGTCCAATGAGCTGATTAGATTTTGGGCAGAGTCGGAACATCTGGGGGGGTACTTTATGGGTGGACATTTTTATATTTTATGGAATATATCTGTTATTTACGTTTGGAGAAGAAAATTCTTCAAATAAAAGTTACTTCTAATATAATTATCTAAAATTTTTGTTTTAAGAAAAATTTTCCTAAAATGGTCCGTATTCGAGAAATTTGACAAAATGTAAAAAAAATAATTTTTTATAAAAATTGTTCAAATAAAAGTTGTTTGTAATATAATTCTTTATAATTTTTATTCCATACATAATTTCTCTAAAATGGAACGTATTCGAGATATTTGAGAAAATGTGTAAATTTCGAATTTTTGAAGAAAACTCAAAAACGGATAAAGGAAAAAACATTAAATTGTAAACTTAAGTTTTATTTCGACCTGAGGTGTACTGATTAGATTTTGGACAGAGTCGGAACATTTGGGGGGGTACTTTATTGGTGGTCATTTTTATATTTTACCATTGTCATATACTCAGACAGTCAAGCGACGTTAAAAGCACTCAGTTCCATGCAGGTACACTCAAAGCTTGTGTGGGACTGTTTGGAAGCCCTAACAGAGCTGGGTAGTCAAAACAGACTAACCTTAGCGTGGGGTACCAGGCCACAGGGGACACAAAGGCAATGAAGAGGCTGATTTACTAGCCCGAGAAGGAGCATCAAATGCTCTTATTGGCCCAGAACCCTTCTGTGGTGTAACAAAAACAACTATCAGAACATGCACAAAGCAGTGGATGTTTAAAAAATCTCAGGAGTGGTGGGAAAACTCACCAGGACAGAGACAGGCCAAAAAGTTCTTAAAAGGACCATCGTCTAAACTCACCGAGCATCTACTAAGCCTTAATAGGAAAAATACTAGAATACTAGTAGGTCTATTAACAGGGCATTGTAGGCTTAACAAACATATGTTCAATATCGGTCTGACAGAAGAGGCCTTGTGCCGATTCTGTCAAGAAGAAGAGGAAACGGCAGAACACGTATTGTGCTACTGCGAAGGTCTAGTAAGACTGAGATTCCTTACACTTGGAGAAGAAAAACCAAGGGCAACTAGCTATACCGGAGAACTACTTTCCAGTCTATGGAGTTTACTACAAAAGACCGCATTAGACAAGGTACTCTAAACAATGATTAAAGGATATCCACAATAGATCTGAAAAGGTCGAGGTGGGGGAGGCCACATGGCCCATAGTCCTAATTAAATCTAATCTAATCTAAAGGTCCAGAACATGCCTGTAAAAGAAAAAAGTACCAGCTATAAAAAATTGCCATTTGTGCAATGTTAAATCCCTCTAACAGTAAAAAATTACTTAAATTTATAAAATATACTGATATTTACTCTGTACTAGGCAAAATGTAAATTATCCATTGTATACTATTGTAAAAAACAGCATTTATAAGGTATTATACCTTCGGTAATGATCCTTTGAGGTTGGAGCGGTAAATAAAAAAAAAATATAACCTACTTTATTAATTTATTTAATATAATTTCTGTAAAAACATAAAAACCTAAATCTGTTTACATGAACGTAAAAATATAGAAAATATTTTTCAAATGAGGTATCACATGACTCTACTTTACATTACAAAATTTAAAGCTAGTAACTCCATCTATTTTATGTATCTCAAGTAAAGTGCATCTCTTTATAACAAAGATATAATATCTCTTGAGTTTTACCTCTTTTTTGTTCTGTCATTTTCTTTTTATTTTCCTATCTGTATACAGATATAAGGAAAGTATAGGAATCATGATTTTTTTCGACCTCGAGATTTCGACGGATTTTTACGTTTTGAGGTCCCCTGAATCCGTTTTGACTATTTTCGCGATGATGTCTCTGTGTGTGTGTGTGTCTGTGTGTGTGTGTCTGTGTGTCGCATAACTCATGAACCGATACACAGAAAAACACCAAATTTTAAACTTAAGCTTTGTTCCAGCGTCCAATGTGCTGATTAGATTTTAGGCAGTGTCGGAACATCTGGGGGGTACTTTATAAGTGGTCATTTTAATATTTTATGGAATATATCTGTTATTTACGTTTGGGGAAGAAAATTCTTCAAATAAAAGTTACTTCTTATATTATTATCTAAAATTTTTATTACATACAAAATTTTCCTAAAATGGTCCATATTCGAGAAATTTGACAAAATGTAAAAAAATATTTTTTTATAAAAATTGTTCAAACAAAAGTTGTTTGTAATATAATTCTCTATAATTTTTATACTATACATAATATCTCTAAAATGGACCGTATTCGAGATATTTGAGAAAATGTGTAAATTTTGAAATTTGAAGAAAACTCAAAAACGGATAAAGAAAAAACATTAAATTTTAAACTTAAGTTTTATTTCGGCATGACGTGAAATGATTAGATTTTGGACAAAGTCGGAACATCTGGGGGGGTACTTTATAGGTAGTCATTTTTATATTTTATGGAATATATCTGTTATTTACGTTTGGGGTAGAAAATTCTTTTTATAAAAGTTACTTCTTATATTGTTATCTAAAATTTTTGTTCCATACAAAATTTTCCTAAACTGGTCCGTATTCGAGAAATTTGACAAAATGTAAAAAAATATTTTTTTATAAAAATTGTTCAAACAAAAGTTGTTTGTAATATAATTCTCTATAAATTTTATCCTTTACATAATTTCTCTAAAATGGACTGTATTCGAGATATTTGAGAAAATGTGTAAATTTCGAAATTTGAAGAAAACTCAAAAACGGATAAAGAAAAAACATTAAATTTAACATTAATTTAAACTTAAGTTTTATTTCGGCCTGACGTGAAATGATTAGATTTTGGACAAAGTCAGAACATCTGGGGGGTACTTTATGGGAGGCCGTTTTTATATTTTATGGAATATATCTGTTATTTATGTTTGGAGAAAAAAATTGTTTAAATAAAAGTTATTTCTAATATTATTATCTATAATTTTTGTTTTATGTCAAAATTTCCTGAAATGGTCCGTATTCGAGAAATTTGACAAAATGTGCAAAATTCTGATTTTTATGAAAATTGTTGAAATAGAAGTTGTTTGCGATATCGATCTCTATAATTTTTGTTTATACATTATTTTTCTAAAATGGACCGTAATGGAAAAATTGTAGGAAAAGTGCTAAATTTAAATTTTTTAGTATTTTTATTTCCAATGAATATCTATAGAAAAATGTTTCGAGCGAGGTAGATGTATGTGGAAAATGTATATATTTATTTTATCCTCTAAACATTTATCGAGGTGCTGCAATAGGTTGTACAAAATAACCAGAAAAAGCCTATAATAACTAGATAGGAAAGTCATGTGTTGGACACATCAGATTTTTTCATTTAGAAGTTAAAATAGAGGAGGGTACAATTTTCCTCCTCACTGTATAAATACATTCGTTTGTATTTTTGACAGTTTTTCGAAAAAACGCTTAAAAATGTTCAACTTTTCAAAAGTAATCTCAGAAAAGCTGAATGGATTAAATATAAGAAATAATTGTATAAATTTTAAATAAATGAAATGAGAAATAATTTTTCTTATAAATCACTATTTATAAAATCCTAATAACACATGTATCATTCGTTACCATTTAATATATATAGAATAGGTGTGTTATAGTTAACTTTTTGATTATCTCGAAATCTAATATGTTAAAATTTTAAGTTACGATAAGCAATTGAAAATTTCAAATAAGCAAAGAAAAAATTATTCGAGAGAGCCTGAGAGAGCTCGAGAGAAACGAGAAATTCTCGTCGAGAGATGACACTCTCTCATCTCGTCTCGAATCTATTTTCGAGAGAAAATGTATCTCTCGTCTCGTTCGTGACGAGACAAGAATCTCTCGTCTCGCGGCATCACTAATTGTAAATAATCAAATTGACTCCAGTGCCATCTTAAGTAAAATACAATTTATTGTTCCCTCTTATAATACTAGAAATAAATACACATTTAATATTATTCAAAGTTCTACAAATTACTACCTAAACTCTCCTTTGCAGATATGTAGCAAATCGTTCAACTCAATCTCAACTCTCACTGACATTGACATTTTCTCTGATTCTTTAATAACTCTCACCAATAACTTAAAAAAAAATTATCTTTCACGTTTAGATTAAGTATTAATTTATTTATTTTTTTTTTCATCTTATTTAATATACCTTATATCATTATTAATCACTAATACTTTTTGTATGCTTAGATTTAGGTTTATAATAATTGTGAAAACTGTTTTTGCGTTCGTCCCATCTTGTTTTCCTTTTTGTAAATAAGTAAATAAATAAATAAATAAATCATCCTGTATAAATTGGTATTTAGCTGTGGCGGTGTCAAACAATTGCAGAATAATTAAGAAAAACGGAATGAAATATTTCTTCTATACTCACCTCATATTTTCTGGGGATGAGAACGATGCATTTCCAAAGGGCAGTGATTGTCCATAGTATCTGTGTTCGATGAAAACGAGAAGAGCGTTGAATACGGGTGCAATGTCAAACATGAATCCTGTGTTTTGAGCAATAATTGAAATGTCAACACTGTTGCCGGTGTAGACAAATATTGGCCCTCCTCGAACATGGTACTTGGAGTTTATTAGGTATCTTAATTTGAAGAACGTCGGCGACGGAACTGCTGAAAAATGATCTAGAGGTACTTCAATATATCTGGTTTCTAATGAATATTTCTGATCAGTACTTTCAACTTCTATTATATTTAACAAGAATAATAATAGAATCAAAATTAAAATTTTTGAAAGTAACATGTTTAATACAATTGAAAAGTATACAAGCACTTCAATACAACAACTGAAAACTACGAATCAATGCACTCCTTTTATACTGTTTTGGGTGAGTCAGATAACTTTTTGCATTAGTCTGGAGCCTCCATTCATCCGAGAGCAGTCACTGCGACATACGCACGCGGAGCGTAGATTGTCAAAGTTTAATTCCATGAGGCATGTTGGCTACTAAAAAGGCTGTTGGAGCCATCAGAAGACTATGATTTAGTGATGAAGCATGTCTCAGGAAATGAAATTTTGTGGAAATTAAATCACCCGGATTACAAAAATACAGTGAAAACAGATGTTAAATGGAGAAAAAATTGGAAAAACCTCTCTGTCCTGCACCTCAACTATCATCATCATCGCTAGAGCTTTCTTCTTCATGACCATCTTGCTCAAAGTTTATACCAAAACTGTATTGTTCCGCATGCGTCATTACCGTCTAGGACACCACTATTGCACTTCAATAATAGAGAGTTAAAGCAATGCCAGTAGCGTATATGTAAACGTATCTAATGACAGCTACGCATGCGCAACAGCTATTTTTCCGACGTATCTATTTAGATCTGACGTAAACGTACGTGTTCTTGCGTATGGCTAATACGCATTCGTATCAGGCCGAGCAAACATATCGGGAGCATCCGATTACACCGGATTAATAAAACTAATGACAGATTGTAACTCTTATAATGTTTCAAATTTTAAACCATAATTAATAAGGTAAATGGGGCAAACATTGACATAATTTCATAATTTATTTTTTATTAGATCTCAATTTTTTTTAATCACTAATAATTTCCTGAGACAGGCATACTATGTAGTAATACTAAGCAATGATGTACGTAATGTTCTAATTTGTACTTTATCCGAAAAAATTTTTTTTTTTAATTTTGTCCGGTGTCAATGTTACCCTATGGATAGTATAACATTGACATCCCATATAAATTAAAGCCCAAGTCAATGTTAAGAAATCGTTAAGCAACATTGACACAAATAAATCTGTTTTATGGCCGTTTTAGGTAGAAACGAATAATTTTACCTTATTTTTCTGCAAAAATAAGTCGGAAAACTATGTTGTTTTTAATGAAATCATATTTTTATTCTGAATAACAAAAGAATAATATAATGTGGGAACCTTATTATCAAAAACTGGAACTTAAGCTAGGAATTACATCTTAAAAACATACAAAACTAAATATTGGCACGTGTCTTTGGCAAGGTAATGATACTAAACTAATAAATTTTGGTAACTCCACTAATGTAAGGCACTAAAAAAATGCGCACACACACACACACACAAACACACACACACACACACACACACACACACACACACACACACACACACACACACACACACACACACACACACACACACACACACACACACACACACACACACACACACACACACACACACACACACACACACACACACACACACACACACACACACACACACACACACACACACACACACACACACACACACACACACACACACACACACACACACACACACACACACACACACACACACACACACACACACACACACACACACACACACACACACACACACACACACACACACACACACACACACACACACACACACACACACACACACACACACACACACACACACACACACACACACACACACACACACACACACACACACACACACACACACACACACACACACACACACACACACACACACACACACACACACACACACACACACACACACACACACACACACACACACACACACACACAGACATCATCGCGAAAATAGTCAAAACGGATCCAGGGGACCTCAAAACGTAAAAATCCGTCGAAAACTCGAGGTCGAAAAAATCATGATTCCTATACTTTCCTTATATCTGTATACAGATAGGAAAGTAAAAAAACATTAAATTTTAAACTTAAGTTTTATTTCGGCCTGACGTGAAATGATTAGATTTTGGACAAAGTCGGAACATCTGAGGGGGTACTTTATAGGGGGCCGTTTTTATATTTTATGGAATATATCTGTTATTTATGTTTGGAAAATAAAATTGTTCAAATAAAAGTTATTTCTAATATTATTATCTATAATTTTTGTTTTATGTCAAAATTTCCTGAAATGGTCCGTATTCGAGAAATTTGACAAAATGTGCAAAATTCTGATTTTTATGAAAATTGTTGAAATAAAAGTTGTTTGCGATATCGATCTCTATAATTTTTGTTTTTACATGATTTTTCTAAAATGGACCGTAATGGAAAAAATGTAGGAAAAGTGCTAAATTTAAATTTTTCAGTATTTTCATTTTCAATGAATATCTATAGAAAAATGTTTCGAGGTAGATGTATGTGGAAAATGTATATATTTATTTTATCCTCTAAACATTTATGGAGGTGCTGCAATAGGTTGTACAAAATAACCGGAAAAAGCCTATAATAACTAGATAGGAAAGTCATGTGTTGGACACATCAGATTTTTTCATAAATTGACAGGCTTTGTGACTATTATTTCGAATAAAAAAACACGTTCAAGATGCAAGACTATGTCTCTACCCCCTTAGATATACCAGACTGTGGTGCTCGCGTCCTGTTTGACGAGCCCACAAAGAACTTCTAACAGATTTGTTTATGACATTTTAGTTGCTTTTTCATGTTTGACGTTTTATGTCATTATTTTTACTTTTTGGTTATATGCAATGTTTTGGAGTGACAACCATCTGGTATCTTCTCTTTTAATAACGTCACCGTTTTTGATTAAGCTATGTTTTTTCTTTTGTAAACCTTTACAGGATTTTCTGGATGAAGACACAAGTAGGCGGATCATTTGAACGCAGTATAAAAGGACCGCCGTTGCTATGCTGCAGACAGATCATTAAATAACACATCATCGATCGGTTTCATTTTTTGTATATATTTCGAAAGTGTCATGCTTTTTTATATATATATATATATCGAATAAATTTTTAAAAATTACTTTTTTTTTAGTTTTTAATTTAGTGGGACCAACCAACGGGACCACTATATTTGTGGTGCTCGCGTCCTGTTTGACAGCCCACACAGACCTTCTTACTGACAGCTATTGTTTGACAGGTCATTGGAATGCTTAATTGGTAATAGTAAGAGAGCCCACTGCAAATTACGACCGCCATCTCATAACAAAATAAAATATGCTCCAAAGGCATGTAACAACATTGTACTTTACCAAATTGCACCTGTGCCAATCTGTAATCAAAAAATTACATAAGACATGACAGCAATAATGGTGTTTTCTCTGAAAATTACAATCCTAATTCATTGTGAACCTAGCTTTTAAACCTGAATTATTAATATTTTTTCCTAACTTTGGCAGAGATATTCAATAATTATTATAAACCCTTGTTAGACAATTCTTTTAAATCATAATCATTGTAGTTTTTTGTCGTTTCTATGACAACCTGTAAAAATGAATCACAACAATAGGCATACAAATAAATTCTTAAATCAGCAAAAATTGATTCATATTTTTAATGATTTTTACCTACTAATCGTGTGTAGATGTTTTTGTGCGATGTTAAGAGGAAGAAAATGTTTCCCATTAACGATATATATCAAGATATATTTGAATATGTTATTATCTGGAAAACTTTAAGGGCAAACAAAATTAGCGCTGTTATGCCTTATGTGATTTGTTTAAGATAAATTTTTTTTTAAACACTTTGCTCAGGATTGGGATTGTCACAGGTGCCATTCGGTAAAGTACAATGTTTTTACAAGCTTTTGGGGTATATTTTATTTCATTATCAGATGGCGGTAAAAATTTACAGTGGGCTCTTGGGCTATTATGATTTGATTATGTATGCGCCAGGGATACAAATCCAAGTTGCGCAATGTATAAACTGGAACATTGAGATCAAAAGTGCCGATGCAGAGTGAGCGAACGAGCGAACTGATTCTTTAGCTATAACTATAATTTTATTCCAGGAAATGCTTATTGGTACTGAGTTTATAAAATTATTCATATTCTTGTCTTTTAAAAGAACATAAAATTAGATAAAAAATTAATTGGTTATTGCAATTAGAAGTTCATATCAACCTAATAAAAATTATCACAGTATGACAATGTAAAATGAGTTTCATGTCAATAAGTACTTAGAAATACATATTATCGATATCAATAATTACAAATGGCCTAAACGAGTAGGTATTCCGAAGATAAGTGCGAAAAGCGATTGGACACCATTATGCATGTCATCTTAGTCACGTAGTCACAAATAGAGATAGGTACTCAATAAAATAAATCCAATTGTTTTGGCCGATTATAATTAAGATTTGGTATATTTGGTAGTTGGTGTTGCCTATATGGCAGATACATTCTATTTAAAATATATCGTTAATTTTGGCATGCGCAAATTATTTATGCGTAGTATTAATGATCAGTCGTATTTCGTTACTTCTGATAGATAGTTGATTTAAAAAAGATAAAAATTCGTTTTGTACGCCGGTTTTAATTATTGAATGCAAAGTGAAATTACCGATGAACCTTCCCTTTTCCTTCCCTGATATTTTTTCCTTAAGTTCGTCAATCACGACGGGATACAGAAATATTTTCTAAAATATAGTCTCCATACAGTTCACTAAATACACACCAATATCAATACAATTTCTGAGAAATAATAGTAAAGTTTTTCAAGTTCTTGTTCAGGTCGATATAGGTAGGGGAAGGTTGCCTAAAATGGGATACCTAAGGGTTCAAAAATAATAAAAATATTTAATGGTTTATATTTTGACATAATTAAAAACGAATATTATAATTTAAAAGGAAAGACTTGTATTTCGTGCAAAACTTTTTAATTAATAAATGCAAAGCGCTTTCGGCTTATTTGCCATCATCAGTGCTTATTGTCCACAACATATCCAACAAGTTCCTGGTCATCCTCACTCCCAAAATTAGATATTTCGGGATATTTACCACTTGCTAAATCATAATCTTAGTGTTATTAATATTTTAGACCACTGTCATGTGGAAACGGTTAAACAACTTGAATAAAAATGAATAGATAAATTTAAATTTGAAAATATTAATAACACTAAGATTATGATTTAGCAAGTGGTAAATATCCCGAAATATCTAATTTTGGGAGTGAGGATGACCAGGAACTTGTTGGATACGTTGTGGACAATAAGCACTGACGATGGCAAATAAGCCGAAAGCGCTTTGCATTTATT